AAGCTTTTTTCTGTAAAGGGCCATATGGTAAAACATTCAAGCTTCATGGGCCATAAGATCTCTGTCAGCAACTACTCAACCCTGCAGTTTTAATGTGAAAGTATCTAGAGACAAATGTAAATGAAGAGGTGTGGCTGTGTTCCAATAAAACCTCATTTACCAAAGAGGCAACAGGGGCCACAGCTGCACTAGCCTAATCTTAGGTTACTTACTTATCCTCCACTTATTAAACAAAAAACAAAGTTAAATTGGATAAAAATAAATTTTAACATATATTGTGTTATGGACATTAAAATGGAGCCAAAGGAAGACTTCATAGAGGCAAAAGCCCTTGACTAGTAGTCAAGGGTTTGAAACCTTCAAGAATTCTGTCCTTTGTTTTGCTAGTGACTAGCTGTAAAATCTTGGGCAGATCACACATTCCCTGAGATTCCATTATTTCATATGAAATTTGAAAAAAATTTCAGGCACGTAGTCTTTCCAGTCTAAAAATGAATTTCAATTCAGCTCACTTATTCCCACTGTTTCCATCAAAAGTTTCAAAAGAAAACTAATTTCTACCTAAACAATTTAAAATGGTTAAGTTCAATGAACTAAAAATAGGCATTGAAAGATTTGGAATATTACAATCAAACAAAAAAAAAAGAAGGAAGAATATGAAGCATCAAAAAACAAAGGATCTAAAATAAACAAAACAATTTGAGAAAGGAATTAGAAAGCCTATTTTACCTGAGATTTTAAAAGTTTTGACAAAAAGATGAACAAACAAATTAATGGGACAGAAAAGTCAATCCACAGATATTTGGTCAAATGGTTTTATTAGTCAAAGACACTGAAACTATTTAACGTGGAAAGGAATATCTTTAAAAATGATGCTGGAAATGAACATTCATACAGAAAGGTACTTGACCCCTACCTTCCTATGGTCAAAAAAAAAAAAAAATCAATTCAAGCTGGATCGTGGTTCTAAACCAAAAAGCTAAAATAATAAAGTTCCTAAAAATAATATTTTCATAACTTTGGGGAAGGTGATTATACAGAAAACATTAAATTGAAAATTGATAAACTTTTTTTCAACAACATTAATGCTTCCTTCACACTGAAAGAGACTGTTAAGAAAATAAGTAAGCAACAGAGTTGGGGGGAAGGGAAATAAGATTTGTAGCATGCTGAGGTGTAGCTCAGCGATAGAGTGCTTGCCTATACTGTAAGGCCCTGGGTTTGATCCCTAGCATTGAAAAAAAGAACTTATATGCAGAATGTATAAAGGAGTCTTATTAACCAATTAAAAAGGTGAGGAGGAATGGACAAAAGAATCATTTATAAGCACATGAAAAAAATGCTCATTAGTCATCAGGGAAATGCAAATTAAACCACCATGAGATACACCACATAACCAACCAGGAGAGTGGGTGGGATGAAAAAGATGGATAACAACAAACATCAGCAATTCTTTGTGCCACTCATACATTGTGTTGGTGGGAACAGGAAATAGTACAACCCTTTTAGAAAACTGTTGGGCGGTCTCTCAAAAAAGAATTAAATATGCATTCATCCTAAGACCTAGTGATCCTATTCCCAGTTTTTCAATCTGAAAGTAACAAAAGCATGTTCATAAAAGTCTCTGTTCAAAAACATTTATAGCAGCTTATTCATAATAGCTCAAAACTAAGACAGTTCAGGGGTTCATGAATAGAAATACAGATTCGTAAACAGTGGTGTATTCAAACAGTACTACACAGCAATAAAAAAGAACTAACCATTAATGCAAATGAATCTCACAGAGAAGCTGAGTAAAAGAGAAGCGAAAGTCAAATAATTAAAAATATAATTTTATCAGTCTAATTCAAATTTCTTCAAATGTGAACTTAAAATATATTTGCTGATACTCGGGCTCATTTTTCCCCACATAAAACTGTCCATATTGGTGTTCAGTAAGGATATATATTACTTCTAAATAGCTGAGGCCTCTATGCACTGAGCCACATAGCACCCCACACACTACTGAGGACTGTAATTCACCTCTTGTCTAACAGAATCCAAGTGATCTTTGTAACCTCCTCTCTACTAAATTTTCCTTCAAACTGAGGTCAGCTGAAAAAGTTTAAGAGAATCCACAATCAGCATCTGTCTTCCCTCTTGTAACAACTATAGAACAGCATTTTCTCCTACTCTGCTTGGGAAAACGACGACAAAACACAAGAATAATTTTCTGGCTGGGTTCGGTGGCGCATACCTGTAATCTCTGGGCTCTGGAGGTGGAGGCAGGAGGATGGTGAGTTCAAAGCCAGCCTCAGGAATTTAGTGAGGCACTAAGCAACTCAGTCAGACCCTGTCTCTAATAAAATAGGGTTAGGGATGTGGCTCAATGGTAAAGTACCCCTTGGTTCCCCCCCAAAAAAAACTGTTGGGCAGTCTCTTAAAAAAAATTAAATATGCATTAATCCTAAAATGAACCCTAGTTCCCCCCCCAAATCCCTGGTACCTGCCCCCGATTTTTTTTCTAAATAAAAGTTACACATTTTACATTTTTCATAAAGATCTCATCACACTGAAGTATCCTGTTGTTAATTATAATTAAAACTGGGTTTATAAACTGTATCAATAAACTAACAGTACTGTTTAGTCCTTTGTAAATTTGGTCATAGTAAAATGAGTATTAATAGCATTAGATGAATATAGTGCTGCTTGGCAAGTCATTAAGAGAAAGATTTTATTTGGTCTAATACGTGAAGGCTCTTCAGGCTCTCTTTATAACATGCAAACCAAAAAGTATCAATATACCTTCATAAGTATATTCTGAGGGCTTTTAAAAAAAGCACCATAAAACTTAAGGTACAAAAATAGCTAAGGGCCAGTAATGCCAGTGGCTCTGGAGCCTGAGATGGGAGGATCGCAGATCTAGGCCAGTCTGTAGCTCAGTGGTTAAGTTGTCCCTGGGTTCAATCCCCAGTACCAAAACAAAAGTAGCTAAGGATGCAAACTGGCTAACTAAAAGAAAAAACATTTTTAAAAATAAATGGAATAATTACATTAAATATATTCACTCTGAATGTAATACCAAACAGTTTTGAAAAAGTCCAAATGATTCTGGCTTCACAACTGGACAAATTGATCAAGTACATACAAGTGTCACTCAACAGCAATTTTTTTTTTGGGGGGGGTCACATATCCCCTATTTCTATGAAAGATATTTAAATATATTTGCCTCAAACTATGTTTTACTTCTTTCAAGACTTACCTGAGTCTTAACTTTGTGACCATGGGTTTTCACTGAATGGAAGAGTTACCTCTTTCCCCTTTTAGAGCTTGTTTGGAGATGCTAGTTTCCTGCTGTGCATGGTGGTTCACACCTATAATCCCAGAGACCCAGGAGGCTGAGGCAGAAAGATATCAAATTCAAAGCCAGCTTGGCACACTTAGACCCTTTCTCAAAATAAAAAATAAGAAGGCTGGGGACGTAGCTCAGTGGTAGAGCCTGAGTTCAATCCCCTGTACTGGAGCGGGGGGAAAAAAAGCTACTTTCCAAGAAACTATGTAATTAAGCCAGTTTAGTGACAAAACAGAGCAACTGTTTGAACTACACAATCAATTTCATTCCAATGATGTCTAACAATATCAGGTACTCTGGCAGTTTTGCCTAGCTGGGCTAGATGAGATTATAGATGGTGTATAAATGTCTAGCACAATACACTATTATTATAAAACTGGAGCTTAGGTACTGTCAGTGTTGTGATTTTGACATTTGAGAAGTGCTAGGCAGAGAGCTTTGTGTGACACCCTAGTCAGACTACAAAGGGAAACATCTGAGTCAGTCCTAGTGTGCAGCACAGGTGTGGCTTCAGTGTACACAGTATACAGATGACAGACAAGCTGTATTAATGAGAACTTATATAAAACACTCAGCCTAAGAAAACGTAAATAAGGACTCAGACTTTTTTGTGTGAGGATATTTAGTTACTTTAAGTAATATTTTTTACATTTTCATTTTTCATTATTTTTATTATTTATTTTGAGATGGGGTCTTGCTCTGTTACCCTGACTGGTCTCAAACTTGTGGGCTTACATGATCCTTCTGTCTCAAACTCTATTGTGTGTCCTGTGTATGTATTCATACATACACACACACACACACACACACACACACACACACACACACGGATTTTTTTCCCCCCTTTTTGATCTTGAGGATTGAACCCAGAGCCTCACTGCTGAGCTACATCCTGACCTAAAGTTAAGTCTTTTGGGATAAGGTACCTCCCTAATGACAAAATATCCAATGTCAGTTTTTTTTTTTAAATGAATGAAAGCAAAGGATTACAAATATTTTGGCATTTTATGTTTCCTGGTATAGTTTGAGGGCTGATAAACTCAACAGACGTAGTGGCTCAGTGACCATTCTGACTATGCTTTGTATTTCTCCTTTCTCTCTTCTAGATTTCATTAACTTTGAGATTAAAACAATATAATATCATCTTGTCACTGATCAAAGCAATCAAAGTGCTGATCAGATCACACTGATACCTGTGAGTGCCCCAAATTAAGTGATGAGTATGGGAGAGAGGCAAGGAGGTAGTAGGAGCACAGCCTGGGAGAGAGGACAGAAGAGAATGGTGTGACAACAAAGAGAATGGTTGAAGAGATGATACTTGTTCAACATTCTTGGCTTACCAAGCCAGATCTTGGAGACCAGAATAATCTCAGAGGTAAAAAATAGTCTCTTCTCTTATTGTAATGTTGAAGAGGGGAAAAAAAAAGCTACAGATGGTTATAAACATTAGGCAAAAACAGAGAGCGAGAAGCCAAATCAGGTCAATATAAAGTAATAAAACACAAAAATAAGACACTGTAATACCATAATGATGGTATTCTATGTCTCAACAATTTAGAAAATGTCTATTTAAAATCTTGTCCCTCTATCCAAAGTAAAAAAGTAGTTTAGTAAAGTTATCAACATATGTACATACAAATAGAGAAACACATGAATAATGCAAAAGAGATTTATCAGTGATGTAATTTTGGCACTTTTACTTGGATTTTTAAAGAAAAGTGAATACAAACATCTTTGTACACAAATTCTCATTGTAGAGAAACAGGATGTAGAATTAAAAGGTGCAAACATCTCCCTTCTTAAAAATAACATTGAAACAGAGAACTTTACCTGTTAACCTTCAGGTTGGCAACTTCTACAAATCTGGCTTGATTGATCTAACTCCACAAGTTTAACAAAATTATTTTTGCTTATATCAGTGATACTTTGATATCCACTTCTAGTACATGTACCATTTGGCCAGAGGTCCATAAATAATAATAATGTTTTCAATGTAGAAATCTTAAAAGTTTTAAAGGGAAATACTGCTCAGTAAATAAATTCTCCTGGAATTTCTTGTAGCAAAGGTTCTTCAAATTTAAATCGTTTGGAGATGGCCTTTTGCTCCATTTTCTCTTTTTCAGACTGTCTGCATTGTCCTAAAGTATACGAAGCAACTACAATTAACTCCTCTGTCACAAGCGATTCCTCAGTTTCTGGTTTCTCAGTATCTGCTTTAATTTCAGGCACAGAATCACCTTGTTGGAAGGCATTTGCTTCTTCTAATGACTCTTTCGTCCTAAAAGAAGGATCTTGAATACTGCTCTGTGTCAACCATGGGTGTTTTAGACATTCTTCAGCAGTGGCTCGATCTCTGTATAAAGACAAATATTTCATACATAAGACAACATAAAAACTTCAACTGAAATTCAGAGCACAAGGTTTACTGTGAAATCTGAATAAAACAAGAAGTTTTGAAAATTTGAGTATAATTGTCCATAATATTGAAAAATAGTATTTTTAAGTAAAATAGTATTTTCTCTAAAAAGCTCTCTTGAGAGACCAGGATCAGACAGAAACTATCTACTAAGGACTGGCTGTCATTTCGTTGTCAATTTCTACTAATGAATAGTGACACATCTGCAATAATAAAATTTTTCTAATTAATATTTAAATCCTAGTATAATGAGGTATGCAGTACAGGTCAATATGTTTTTCATTTTTATCAGTTTTCCTTTCAACACATATATTAGGCCAAGAGTTCTATCTAGTTTCTTTTTTCTTGTTTGTTTGTTTTACAATACTGGGGATTAAACTCAAAGACATACTATCACTGAGAGAAATTCCCAGCTATATTTAATTAGGTACCAGGGAACTGAACCCAGTGGCATGTTACCACTGAGCTATATCCCCAGTCCTTTTATTTTTTATTTTGGGACACTGTCTCATTAAATTGCCAAGACAAATTTACAATCCTCTTGCTTCAGCCTTCCAAATGGCTACTGGCTTGCACCACAGTGTCTGGTTAATTTAGCTTTATGTCTACATTTTTGTGTCTTCATTTTGGGATTTCAGTTGTTGGAATACTTTTGTTCAGAGAAGACTACTCAAAAATTGACAAAAATCAGGCTTGGGGTATAATTTGATGGTAGAGGACATGCTTATTAACATGTGCCACAGCCATAGGTTCATTTCTCGGCTTCCCTCCCTCCCACCAAAAAAGAAGATAAAGATGAATATTAATACTTACTCTGGTTTCTTAACTAAAAGTCTCTTGATGAAGTCAATAGCGGTTTCAGACACAATATCAAATTCTTCCTCAGAATAACTTAAATTCATCTGCGAGATGTTCAAGAATGTTTCCTGTTTATTATCACCTAAGAAAGGTGATATTCCTGTAAGCATGACATAGGTTAATACTCCAATGCTCCTAAATCAGAAAGAAAATAAAAGAAAACTTAGTATCATATTAATTTCTTGAAACCAATTTTTAAAAAATATTTATTTTTTAGTTGTAGTTGGACACAATCTTTATTTATTTTTATGTGGTATTAGGGATCGAACCCTGTGCTAGGTGAGCACTCTACCACTGAGCCACAACCCCAGCCCCTCTTGAAACCAATTTTATCAATTTTTCTTTCACAAATAACTCTTACCACATATCTGTTGCCATGCTGATAGGATCATAACTAAGGATTTCAGGAGCTAGGATCAAAAACAGAAGAAAACATTTAGTTTTGTGGAAAAAATGCCTAATTTGCTCATAGAGGTAAAAAATTAAAGTAAGCGTTACAAACTAATAAAGCACTATCATCAAGGTTTGGGTTAAAACAAAGTAAATTAACACTATAATTCAAATTAGTATGAATATGAAGTCTAAACTAGATGTTTGTAGTTAACTTTTCATATTTCCACCCTTGTGGTTGAGTCCTAGTATTTAAAAAATATTTGAATGCCTAAATACTGTAATTTATACTGACAATTTTTGAGACCTTTCTCTTCTCACACCATCTAATTGGGCATCATATCGTCTATAATAATAAGACTTGAAATCTCTCTCAGAGCACCCACACCTCTTCTGTCCCACTCCAGTCCATAGCACTTTTACCTCTCATAGCTCAAGGGATAGAACATATGCTTAAGCATCCACGAGGCCACCAAAAAAAAAAAAAAAAAAAAAGAAAAGAAAACTTTTTTAGTCTTATAGGAAAAGCACCACCAATTTGGTATTTTACTCTTGAAAGTGTTCCATTTTTAAATTTAATCCACAGGAATTAGTTAATTTTTTTTGTGTATGTGTGTGTGCAGTCCTGGGGATCAAATTCAGGGCCTCGTGCATGCTAAGCAGACACTCTACCACTGAGTCACATCCCCAGTCCAGGAATGAATCTTTGATGGAGGGATTTTAATATAGCAGATGGCTGGCCCCCTTTGAATGTGAGTTCCCTGGTGAAGGCAATGTCTGATGTTAAACACAAAACCATCTCACTCTTTCAAATACTTACCCACATATTCAGGAGTACCCATAATTTCTCGTAGCTCTTCACTGTTCTTCATTATTCTTGAAAGGCCAAAATCAACTATCTTAACGTCACCCAATGGAGAGTCACTTGTCAGTAGAATATTCTGAGGCTGAAAAATATACCCCCCCAAATATTAATAAAACCATGATAACACAAAACATGTAGCCCACAGAACACAAATTTTACCTATAAAATTGAAGACTGAAGAACTTAACAATAAGAAGTCATTTGTGAAATAAATACTTTAATAACATACTTCCTATGTGTAAGGCAGCAGCTTGGTACTCTTTGCCTCTACTGGTTCTTCCTTAGCATATAAATATGCTTGTTAAATACAAACCAAAACCACTTATAACAACTATCCCTGATGACCGTGAATGTCTTCCTGGTTAGCATACTCTTCCTGCTATTCCCTCAAAGCTCAGCTTCTTGAAAGCATGGTCAAGTGCACTTGCTGGCACTCTTCTTTTTTTGTAGTGCTGGGGATTGAACCCAGAGCCTTGCTCATGCTAGGCAATTGCTCTACTACTGAGCTAAACCTTCAGCCTCCTTGCTATCACTTTTCATTCCAGCTAAATCTGTTTTGTGCCTTCTACTAAGTCTGCCCTCATAAGAGGTCACAATAACTTTAATAATCAAAGACCCACCAAATTCTGTGCACGTCTTTCAGGCACTATTTGCATAAATTGACTGCTGCATTTGGGTACTGCTGGTTATTTCTGAAATTCCCTTTTATTTTCTCCCTGTTGGATCTCTTGTCCCTCTATAAATCCTTTACTATTTTCTCAGAACTTTTTCATCTTGCCCTCCTTTTAAATGTTGATATTTTCCAAGATCTTGTCCCAAAACTCAGCATTCTACTTTTGAGCCATTTCATCTGTTCCCAAAGCTTCAGGGGCCACTTACATGCACATGACTTCCACTCCAAGCTCTTTCAAGACTCAGATCCAATTAAAATCAGATCTCAGCATGTGGCTGAATGTTACATCCTCAATTCCTTACAAGCCTTCTATTGAGTAAACACCTTGGAACAGAAGTGCAACCCCCAGCCCCAACAAACAGATTTCTCTTTTCTGTGTTGCCAATTTCAATGCCCAAGTAAAACACTGGAAAAATCACTCTAAAGTTCTCTTTCATTTTCCACATTGTATGAGGTCACCCACAAGTTGTGCCAATTCTATTTCCTAAATCTCAATATCCCCATTGCTTAAAGTTTTAATGCTCATTATTTCACATCTAGATCACTAAGATGGCCTCCTGTCTGTGGTTTATTCCACCTCCAACCCACGCCCCATCATACAATATAGTACAGTTGTCCTTCAGTCTGTGGGGGGTTGTTTCTAGGACCCTCTGTGGATACTGAAATCACTGAAATCTGCAAATGCTTAAGTACCTTAGTGTGAAAGGATCTAGTGTTTACAAACAACTAATGCATATTCTACCATATACTTGACTTATAATGTCAAACACAATGTAAATGTTACATAGATATACTTGTTACATTGTTTTGTTTAGAAAATGATAGGAAAAAAAATCTGTATATGTGTTATGGTTTGGATATTAAGTATCCCCTGAAAAGCTCACATTAGGCAATGCAAGAATGTTCAGAGGTGAAATCATTAGAATATGACAGCTATAACCTCAGTGGATTAATCCATTAATAATTTGAATGGATAGTAACTGTAGATAGGTGGGGTGTGGCTAGAAAAGTATGTTGCTGGGGGCATGCTCTTGGGGATTATATTTTATCCCTGGTTTCTACTTCCTGGCTATCATGAGCTTTAACAGATTTCCTCTGCCATACCATTCCACCATGATGTTCTGCCTTATCTCAGGCCCAGAGCAATGAGTCAGGTGACCATGGACTGAGACCTCACAAACTGTGTGTCTCAAATAAACTTTTCCTCCTCCAAGTTTTCTTGTCAGAGCTTTTGGTCATAGAGATAAAAAGCCAGCTTACACAAAATGTTCAGTGCAGATGCAATTTTTCCCCAAATATTTTCAATCTACAGTTGGCTATATCCATGAATAAGAAACCCTTACATACAGAGAATAGGCTGTACTCTTCCCATAATGCAAGTCTGGTTATGATGCTGTAGGTCACTACTATCACCAACAGACACCACACTCTCAAACAGGGTGGAAGTTAGGATGTATGTGGTGGTCAAGGTCAAGGTCAATGTTTTACCCAAGGGAAAACTGACTAAGATAATTTCACATAAAAAGATGAGCAAACTTATTATGGACTAAAATATAAAGTCATTTAAAAATTTTTGAAAAAATTTTTTCACTTCAGAAAGTCTGTAATTCCTGATTTTTGACAATAAGGACATTTCCGGGGTGAACTGAGAAGCATGGGTACTGACAAATTCTATAAAACTTGCTCAGCAATCAGTGTTTATGAAATCTGCAAATGCTTAAATACCTTAGTGTGAAAGGATCTAGTGTTTACACTAGATCTATGATACTCTAGGATCCTAGATACATCTAGGATCTATGATGCTCAACTCAATCTCCTGTGTGCTGAGCTCTGACAGCAATATATTCCTGAGTCCTTTCCAGGATCAATCTCTTGTCATTTCTCAAAGGCACTCCGTGTTCCAAGTCAGATTGGCTGTAATTCTGAATAAGACACATGGTCTCATACCTCATGCCTCTGCACATGCGCTTCCTCTCCTCCTTTGACAAATTCATTTTCATCACTCTGTGCACAGTGGATCCATAAAGCACCCATTCCTCCATAAAGCCCTCCCTCTTCTCCCTTCTACCTTCTTCTCCCTCCTTCCAGGCAGGAGTTGAGGGTTGCCCCCTCTCATGCATGGCAAGCTCATTGCATTGTTTCATTAAATGTCAATTTTTCTGTCTCCTCCATATCAATGTGGTTCTCTAGATGTACAAAATGAATGTTCACGCTTTTTCTTCTTCCACTCACATCCAACTGTTCCATTTGACTTCTGTTCTCTCATTCTAAGTCACAAAATCCAATGATATTTTCCAAGGCTTTCTTCAAGACTACTTTGATCAGTACTTCACACTGTGGCCCATTCCTTCCTGTTCACATATTCTTTTCCTCTTGGATTCCATGACAAAACAGTGCCTAGTTTCCTTCCTACCTCTGGCTGCTTTTTCTGTTATCTACCATTATCTAGTTCCCTGAAAGATGGATTTCTCATGGCTTGATCTTGAGATCCCTTTCTCTTCTCATTCCAAACTCTCACCTTGCAAAGACTATTGCAACCAAAGCTTAAATACTACCTACAGCTTATGACTCAGAAACTTTTATCTCTTTCAGACTTCTTAACCAACTGCTTACCTAATCTCTCTTCTCTGATATCTCAAAGGCATCTCAAATTCAGCATGACCAAAACCAGACTCATCTACCCAATCACCCCTCCTATTGTTTTATATAATTAAAATTTTTATGGGTTTATCAAAGTCTGAATTCAGAAACCAAGAAAGGGAAGAATGTTCAGCTTCATGAGGGCAGGAGCTGCAGTACTGATCACTGTGTCAGCGCCTACTACACACTGATATTTGCTGAGTGAATGAAAAGGAGAAACATAAATATATAAAAAAAATGCAGATAGCCTATTTTGTCTTAGGGATGTTAGTAGTATAAATATTACTAATAAGAAGTCCCCACTGTCGAAGAGTTCATAATCGTAAGAGAAAAAGAAGGATCTATGATGCTCAACTCAATCTCCTGTGTGCTGGGCTCTGACAGCAATATACCAAGTGCTTAGGCAAAAATATATAAAAGGGATTAATTCTACCTCAGAAAATTACAGATGAGGTATGTAGGAAGACTCTGAAGGATAAAAAGGACTTCATCATTTATTCAAAAATTTTTATTGACTGCTTTCTAAGCTAGGCCTTTGGAAAATAACAGAAAACAAGGCACGAGTCCCCTCTTGGAGCCTTACTTTTTTTTGGTGGCAGGGTAGGGGGTCCTGGGGATTGAACCTAGGACCTCAAGCATGCTAAGCATGTGTTCTACTACTGAGCTATAGCCCTTGCCTGGAGTCTTACATTCTAATGAGGACAAATAAATACAAACATATAATTTCAGGTAGTTTGAAGTGCTACGGGGACCTCAAAAGTAGGGTGATTGCTGAAAGGGGATGTTAGGAGTGTGCACATCTCATGCTATCTTTTTGAGAGTCAGAGGAAACAGTCATGGCAGTAATCTTCAGGGTTAAATTAGTAGGGGACATTCAAGGCAGAGGGAGGAGCAAGTACAAAGGCCCTGAGGCAAGGACAAGCTACTGGAGCAGGATCTCAAGAAGTCCTGTATAGATGGAGAAAAGCACAAAGTGGAAGGAGCAGCAGTAATGGTAGGCATGAGAATGGAACCAGGGAAATGGGAATTACAAGGTTTCATAGGCCATTCTGGGCCAAATGACACAAACCATATCCAAATCATAGCAAATGTGGTATACCTTGTGTCATATTTTTTATGTTACTCCTGCTTTCAAGCAGTATACTGATGCTTAAACCATCAGTGCTTAAACTTAAATCCCAAATGGGAAAGTCCCAGCATCTAGTCCATTTTTAACTATGCACACAAGAGGTGGAAAAGTTAATAACCAACACTGCTAAAAGACCAAACGAGTAAAAGACAAAAAGCACCAGATTTAAAAACTGAATTTCTTGGGCTATTTTTGGCCAGTCCTCCCCTGTCCTCCAGATTTACTAAAAGCAGGCCACTGTGTTGAATGAGTAATCCACCAAATTACTGAGACTATTTTGGGATGGTAGTTAGTGTTGTTTTGACTTTGCTAGAGTTACTGCTTCTCAGACTTGTCAGTCCTGCAACATGTTCTATGTGTTAAATAATTGTGCTTTATCTTAATCATAGTTTTTCTTTTCCATTTTCATGGACTTACAAACTTACATGTTCACAGACTCCTAAATCTCTCAAAGAAATTCCCAAGCTGTTTTTAAGGTATTTGACTAAACCTTCAGTGAATCAGTGTTTTGAAAAATTGATAATTTTGAGGTCTGTACTGAAGCCAAATAATGTCAATTTTCTCATTTAAAGGGTTCTTCTAACAGAAAATTTCATTTTTAACTATAATGGAGACTAAATTGTAATCAAAGTTACAAAATATATTGGAATGATCAATTTCCACATAATTAAAACATAAGAAAATACATTTAGCTTTGAAGCAGTCTGGGAATTTTTTTTTTTAAAACAGCTTGGTCTTTCAAGCTCTTCCAGAGATGCAGAGTCAACATTGTAAGCACAAATTCTCACTGGACAGATAGATAGCTGTTAAAGGTACAGGACAATAGACTCTTTGTCCAGACTCAACTAGAAATGACCTTTTGGCAGAAATCACTCCTGACTGCTGCTCCATTGCAACACCAACTCCATCTCAGCCATTCACTTAGAGACACGTTCCCTTCAGCAGTTTACTGAGTGACATGTTTGACTGCACACACCAAAGTGAGGGTGAAAGAAATGCTGATAGCTTCAGACCACCTTGTCTTCTAGTTCTTCTGGGTGTAGGAGACAAAGATAGTCTAGTTCCCAACATCAAAGGCCCATCATAAAGGCCTCTATTAAATTTGGCAAAGATTTCTACATTGAACTGCATGAGAGAGAAAGGAATATGATTTATATTGAAGGTACTGGGGAGAATGGGATATAATTTCCTTGTGTAAATACACAGTTGAACCTGGTATTCAAGAACTTAATATTCACCTTGACTGCTTTCAAGTGACATCAAAGATCCATGACACATGGTGTTGGCAGCCTGTCTGACTTGCTACTTAATTAGTTCCTGAATAATGGTCACAGATTGAGGTGTCATAAGTTGAAAGACCATTTTCTATAGGTGCAATGCTATTTAATTTGGGATTCTGTTCCTAGAAGACCTTTTTACATCATAAAGTTGGTAGAACATCATAAAAATAAAACATATGATTTTACAAAGTTAAGAGTATAAAGCCAAACTGAAAAAAATCTATAGTATATAACATTTCTTTTGGGAATTCTTCTTCATGGCTAATATTAACCGAGACTTCTTATGAAGCTGGGATCGAAGAGGTCATGTCTTCCAGGTCAGTATTCCTGAAGGGAGCAGAGGCGAGAATTTCCTGTAGTGAGGATCTCTGAAGTTCTTATGCATAAGAGACACCAAAGGAGGAAAGCAAAACCCTAGCTCCACCTCTAATGCTAGAAAGGGTTTTAACTAGGGGATCTGTACCATTAACAACCAGGCACTACAGATAGGTACACAAATATCCACACTAGCTGTCAAAACAAGGTCCTTGTTACTATCATATGGCTATTGTGTTGTGACTGCTCGTGTTTGTCACAGTACTAAAAAATGAATTTAAGTTGGTATCTATATAAAAAAAAATAATAAGGAAGCTTCCCAACTGTTTTCTTTACTTGGTGCTTTTCTGTAGAAAACCAGTATGTAAATGGATATCTAATATCCTTCCTCCTGATTTCAAATGATACATTATCAAGGTTGTTTTAGAAGTCAATCTGCAGATTATACATACTTATATTTCTTCCTTCAGAGTGTTACTTCATGCACTGTTATTTAAACACTATGAGGTATATATAAGGAGTTATGGAGTGTGTGCTATAGTGGCTCCTGGACCTGAACTATCAGTATCACCTGGTTGGACCTGCATCAGAATTTCTAGCACTGGTGGGTGGCAATATGTTTTAACAGGTTCTTCCAGTCAGTCTGATGCACAACAGAGTTGGAGAACCACTATAGTAAATAAAGCATCTACCTTCTGCCAAAAGGGAGACCATAGCAGAGTTCAAGGTGGATTAACAGATGATGTGGAGAGAGATGAGGTTGCCATTCAGGGGTCTAGGGGTTTCAGTCTTCTTAGACTGCCTTCCTCCTTCCTAATCCCAACACCTCTGGATGGGGCTCAAAAGGCAGTATCTATGTCATTCCATTTTATTGCCATTCTCAGAAAGGTGAACTGAATGTGAGAGAAAACTCAAGTATTGGTAACACTTTTTGAGCCCTGACTATGGTAGTAACTGAAGATAGAATTATTCCTAGACTTACTGCCAATAAAATTCCCTTTTTAGCTTACCTCAGTTTCAGGTGGCATTTTATCACAGGATATATTGTTCTTTTTCTTTTTTTCCTCCTCCATCTACTTCTTTGATTATTTATTTATTTATTTATTTATTTATATGTACAGGGGATTGAACCCATGGGTACTTAACCACTGAGCCACAAGCCTAGCCCCTTTTAAATTTTTTTTTTTTTTTTTTTTTACTTTGAGTCAGGACCTCACTAAGCTACTAAGGTTGGCTTGAATTTGTGATGCTCCTGCCTTGGCCTCTTGAGCCACTGGTATTATAGGGGGATGCCACCACACCTGGCTCTTTGACAATTTTAGATGAGAGATCTACTTGCCTCCACTTTCTTGGATTCTCCCCACTTATTTTATTTACTCCTGCCTGCCTAACTTTACAGAACACTGCTTTTCAAATACTGCTCCTCAAAAGTCCTCTCTCTTAAAAACAATAGAAACTCCTATTCTTCTCCAATTACCTAAATCCTAACTTTTTTTTTTTTAAAAAAAATTCTATCTCCACCAGGAAGTCTTTATCCACTCCAGTAATATTCCAAGCTCTGTTTTTTGAGACTGTACCTTGTTACCTAATAAAGCCCAAAGTCTTGAAAGAAGTCTCCTATTCTTCTCCAATTACCTAAATCCTAACTTTTTTTTTAAAAAAAAAGTTCTATCTCCACCAGGAAGTCTTTATCCACTCCAGTAATATTCCAAGCTCTGTTTTTTGAGACTGTACCTTGTTACCTAATAAAGCCCAAAGTCTTGATACATATTTAATAAATTCCTGCTAGATACTTTATATTTGAATGCCAGTTCTTATCAATCTCAAATTGTAAATAATTCAGACCTTACCTTCAAATCTAGATGAACTACATCATGAGTGTGTAAAAAGTGGACACCTTCTAAAATCTGTCTCATGAGTCTTTGAACATCTTTTTCTTTAAAAGCTTCTTCTCTGTCTGCAACACACTGGTTAAAGATTTCACCTCCAGCAGCACTACAGAAAGATAAAATTAAAATATAAGAAAGGATGTGGTAAACATATACAACAAAATTAGAGTAAATTAGCTGGGCGTAGTGGTGCATGCCTGTAATCCCAGCAGCTTGGGAGACTGAGACTAGAGGCATGAGTTCAAAGCCAGTCTCAGCAACAGTGAGGTGCTAAGCATCTCAGTGAGACCCTGTCTCTAAATAACATACAAATAATAATAATAATAATAGAGCTGGGGATGTGGCTTGGTGGTGCCCCTGAATTCAATCACTAATACTAAAAAAACCATAAACAAAAACCTTAGAGTAAATTAATCACAACCTGGCAATACTATATACTTGTAAAATGGATTTGATGAGCTGAAGCAAAATACAATACAAGCAGAGTCAACTCACTCTCAAACATCTAGAAATGTACCATAATGCAATGTATCATCCACACAACCTTTTGCACATACAAGCCACAATTTGCCAGTAACACACAGAACTATACTTCAATTACATTTTGTCTGAAAAAAATTTCCTAATCACAGTTTATTGTCATGAGTCCTCAGCTCATTACTACCATTCACAATAATATTCACTAGAGAGCAATTTTCATGGATATATTTAAATTTACATAAATATTTACATAAACATACACAAATTAACAAATAAATTTACAAAATTACATAAATTTAAGAGAAATAATTATTAGTTCTTTCCAGTATGGTGTTTATCTACAACCTTAGACTTTTTGTTTTTTATTTTTTATTTTGAGACAGGGTCTAAGTTGCAGAGGCTAGCCTTGAATTTGTGATCCTCCTGCCTAAGCTTCCCCAGTTGCTAGAATCACAGTTGTGTGCCACCATGCCTGGCTTATTTATTCTCTTATAACTGTATTTTTCTGAAAAACTTCAAGGATGTACTTCAGATGCAGAATCCTATAAAAGCTTTAAAAGCTGCCTTAGTTATCAGTGAAATTACACTCCTCTCAGTACAATGTGAAATCGTGTAACTTTTTTACCTATGTAAATATATTCTTTACCCATTAACTGAAATAATGGTAGGACCATGATCCTTGAAAGGAGGGAAGCAAGGTGAGCTCTCCTATTTCCTTGGCTTCTTACCTGGAGGCAATTTATGGATAGTGGTACAGGGTTGGGTAGGAACCCAAGGAAAATATGGCAGCCTTGTTAAATAGAGAAGATAGACTGTGAGTTTGACAAGGAAGTTGGAATTTGCAGGTAGAGTACCAAACAGGAGGGAGGGGACTACACAGAGAAAGATCCCCAGAATCTGCTTTGTAGTATTTTGAAGTTTTAGGCAAATTAATTACATACACATGCACAGAATTTAACCCTTCAAGGTTAATCAAGAACTGAAAAATATTTATGAACTGAATATTTCCCAGTGTTCACATAGGACCAGGTCAGAATCTGAATTTTGTCCATTTGGAGTAGAAACATCACCCTAAACACTTAGGACCATCAACAGGCCTTCCCAAGAGGGCCATCTGTACTATTAAGGCTAAATTAGCCTTACAGCTGCCTTAACTAAGCGGACTCACATGTAAATTAACTGCCTGCCAAAAATAAACTTCACTATTCTTTAATGGAATGAAATCTACTCCATACCCTTACTATTCTAAATGTATGACATCCTACCTCAAATTTCTAGACATCTGAAAATACCACAAATTACAACCCATACCCAATACAATAATACAATAGAAACAGAACAAGAAAAGACAAAGGTGATGGAAGTAGTAGATAAGGACAGGTATTACAAAGATATTATAAAGATGTCCAAGGATTTAGAGTAAAATATAGATATAACAAAGAAGATATGGAGGACATGAAAGAAAGAACAACACATGGAATTTCTAGAGATTAAAAAATATACAGCAACTAAAATGAAAAATTCTCTCATCTTTATAGATTAGACCTGCAGAAGAATCAGTGAATTTTAGGAGAAAACAGTAGAAATATCCAATGTGAATCAAAGAATACAAATACCCAAGTAGCTCAATGAACCCCAATCAGGATAAACACAAATAAACAAGGATGTGAGGTGAAAATCAAAGATAAAGGAAAAAAAATCTCTAAAAAGGCACATTCATAGGTGAAACAAGGTAGGGATATCCCAAACTTCTTGTCATAAAAAAAGGAAAAAGAAGATGGAATTATACCTTTAAAGTCCTGGTGAGGGGTAGGAACCATGGGTGCGGAATATGTCTAGAATGCAGGGTATGAAGCTGGAGAAAAACTAAAAGAAGATGAGAGAGATAAGAGCAGAGCATGGAATGAAAGCTAAATAATCTGAAAAATCCTGATAGGGTAATGATGGCTGATACATACTAAATGTTGCCTTCCCCAGGATGCACTCTCCCTAACAGCATACGGCCAAGAGCAGAGCAAAGACTTTGTAATGGACCAAACTGGCTCTGCTACTTGTATACTTGTATGACTGCAGGTTGATAATTTCTCTGAGTTTTTTTTTTTTTTTTTTTTTTGTAGTGGGGATGGAACGCAGGGACACTCAACCAATGAGCCATATCCCAAGTCCTATTTCATATTTTATTTAGAGACAGGGTCTGAGTTGCTTAGCACCTCACCATTGCTGAACTCAAAATTCTCCTGTCTCAGCCTCCCAGGCTGCTGGGATTACAGGTGTGCACCAGTGCACCCGGCTCTCTTTTGAGTTTTGCCTCTTTTTTTTGGGGGGGGGGGTCCTGGGATTAAACTCAGGGGCATTCAGCCATTGAGCCACATCCCCAGTCCTATTTTGTATTTTATTTAGTGACAAGGTCTCACTGAGTTGCTTAGTGCCTTGCTTCTGCTGAGGCTGGCTTTGAACTTGAAATCCTCCTACCTCAGCCTCCCCAGCCGCTGGGATTACAGGTGTGCTACACCACACCTGGGAAGTTTTGCCTCATATAAAATGTGTACAGTACATTGTGGCTACTATATTTCTTCTATGTTCACATGACATCTAATAACAATTTCTGGTAGAACACCAATATTGCTGTGTCATTTATTTCTATCACCTTTGCTAGACTTTTAGCACCTGAAGGAAAGGGGGCTGTATTATTTTCACTGTTATTATACTTAGCACATATTAGTATCTAGTACATATAGCAGTGCTATTGGAATGAATAAACAATACAGTGATTATAACCTGCCCGTTTCCATGGCATCGATCTATTGATATGATTGAGAATTTTGGTATCTGAGTATCCAGAGTATATTTCTAAAACTTTCTCTTTAAACTAAAAGTAGAAAATAATAATTTGGGGCCAAATTATACCAATTTTATTTCTAAAAACCTAATCACTGAAACAACAGAAGCCACTAAAGCTTCTAAGCAAATGAATAATATCAGCACCTTTATGTTTCTATTATCAATCTTAACAGTAGTAGAAGGGTGTCCCTAGAATAGAAGCTAGAGCCATCAGCCCAGGGATGCTGGAGATTTAGCGATTCATTATACATGAAGTTAAAGGAGATAAATGAAGGATAGTTTCACTAGCATGAGCAATGAAATAAATGGGGATACCAATAGAAATAGGGAATAAAAGAAAAATGGGCATTAACAGAGCAATGCAAGAGTAATGACCCTGAATTAACAATGATTCATGGTTGGATACATATACACACAGTATGCAGCTGAAGCTTAGACGTGAGGCTGAGATTGGAAGATTTGGAAATAATTAACGTATAAATAATAGCCGAAGCCGTGTAAAATACTACCATCTGGAGTAAATATACAGAACATAATTGTATGACAAAAGTCAACACTGGGGGCTGGGGTTATGTCTCAGTTTTAGAGCACTTGCTAGTATGTGTGAGGCACCGAGTTTGATCCTCAGCACCACATAAAAATAAATAAATAAAATAAAGGCACTGTGTCATCTACAACTAAAATACATATATATATATATATAAAAGTTAATTAAAAATGGAATTTTGGGAAACTCTTATATTTATATACGTTAGGATATAACCGAGAGGAGAAAATTAAAAACAAAAACAAAATGGAGCTGTTGAGAACCAAGAAGAGTGTAATTTCAAGAAAAAATGTATAACATCACATGTTTAAAGAGAGTAAGAAGTAGAAGGAATACTAAAATGAGGAGATTGACTTTATCAAACAGGAATAGTGACCTCATTAAAGTTTTAGAAGAGCAGATAGCATTAGAATGAAAGTGGATGAGTACTGGAATTCATGAACAGATAAATGGATCAATGAAATAGAATGTAATTGATGGGAAGGTGAGGAAAACTATAAATTGAAACTATTCTTTAAGAAGCATGACAGTAAAGAGAAAGCCAGTATAACAGTTTAAGTGGAAGAGGGAAAATTGTAGAAGACAATGAAATAATAGAAGACAGAGGGAAAAGAACTACCAAAGGAGGGGGGACTGAAACTCTGAAAGAAGTTATGTAACTTATTAAAAATCAAAACACACATCCAGAAGAGAAAGGATGAGAATTAAAGAACACGGACAGGGGTTTTAGCCTTGGCATTGAGTAATTGAATCTGTCTTCAAACAGATGGGAAAAAGTCTGAGACAGTAAAAACAGAGATACTCAAGAGGAGTAAGGGATGCTCAGGAGAATGTGTGTCTAATGGCCTTATTTTCTCCATCTAGGGACAAAATTGCCAGGGATCTCACAAAAGCTGAGAAGTAGGTGACATAGTAAGCATGGTAAAGGTATTTATGAAGAACATCAATGAAAATGAACTGGAAAATCCTTTCCAGAGAACCAGACCCTGCACATTATTACAGAGAAGTGGCATCCCATAAAGGAAGTACAGACCATCAAATAAACTCAACTGAAGGAAGACAATACTTACTATTCCAGAACCAAGATCATTTCTGATGGAGTTTCATAAACTTCGTGTAAATTAATGACCCAAGGATTGTCCTGTGCTAGTTCAAGTACAGCAATCTCATGAATAATTTCCATCCGACAGTCTTGGCCTTTTCTTCTTTTTCTCATGAACTTGGCTGCAAATTCTTTTCCAGAATCTTTCTTTATACATTTCCTCACCACTGCAAACTTACCCCTGGAATTAAATACAAACATTCACTGTTAAAACCAATAACTTTCCAGAGATGGCATATATTAATACAAATTTCTAAATTCCCATTATTGGATATTCACATTTAGCTCATTCAATCACAAAGCAGCAATATCACTTGGGATATTGATTTAGAATTATCAAATAAAATATAATTTATAAATCTGCAAAAATCAACTACTGTGATTTGAATGTGTCCCCCTAGGTTCAGGTGTTGGAAATTTAATCCCTTGTAATAAAGAGTTCAGAGGTGGAGCCTTTAGAGGTAATTAGTACACTGATGACACTATCATTGGAATGGGTTCCTGGTAAAGGAGTGAGTGTGGCACCCTTCGCATTCTCTTGAGTTAGTGATCTTGCCACTCCACCATGTAATGAAACAAGAAGGCCCTTGCCAGATGTGAACCTTCAATCTTAGAATTCCCAGTTTCCCGAACTCTGAGCAAGCCAGAAATTATGGAGCACTACTGTAATTCCTGCTGAGACAGCATTTTCACAAGTTTGAGGCTAACCTGGGCAACTTGGCAAAACCCTTTCTCAAAATAAAAACAAAAAAGGGCTGGGGATGTACCTGAGTGTGTGAGGTGCTGGGTTCAATTCCAAGTACAGTATAAAAACAAAACAAAACAAAATCCTGAGCCAAATATGTTTCTGTGCTTTATAAACTACCCATTTTGTCGTATTCTGTTATAGCAGCACAAAATGGGCTTAGATCATAATCAAATATTAAAGTCAATATTTTTGTAGAGTTACAAATAAAATAACTCCATTTTTGTACAATTATGCATAAATGATTTAATCTTTAAAAATATAAGCCAGGCACATTGGTGCACGCCTGTAATCCCAGTGGCTCATAGGCTGAAGCCGGAGGATCTGAGTTCAAAGCCAGTATCAACAAAAGCGAGGTGCTATGCAACTCAGTAAGACCCTGACTTTAAATAAAATACAAAATAGGGCTGGGGATGTGGCTGAGTGCCCCTCAGTTCAATACCTGATTTATTTATTTACGAACCATAAATAAATAATAAAAAATACATTTTACTTTTTAATAGAAATTGGCCACAAGATTCCTTAAAATGAATTTCATCATTATCTAATTAAATGTGAAGAACAGTATCACCTTCCAAAATGATATCAATCATGATATAATTCTAAATATAGCACCAGCAGGAAAAGTCTCATTATAGAGACATTATGGCTCTACAATTTGTCCTTAAACTAATAAGCAGGTCAAACAGGGGAATCAGGATAGCATATTGATTAAGGTTATAATCTCTGGACTTGCATCCCACAACTGGCATTTGACACATCTTAGGCAATTTATTTATCCTCTTAAACTCTCTTTTTTCTTATCTGTACAAGTGATGCAAAATCTGCTTTAGAGTTATGATAATTAAAGTACAATCATTCCTTGATATCCATGCAAGACTGGGTCCAGGATCCTCTGCAGATAACAAAACTAAGGATGCCTCATATAAAATGGTGTCCTTAAAATGTGGTATACATACACAATAGAATATTACTCAGCCTTAAAAAAGAATAAAATTATGACATTTGCAGGTAAATGGATGGAACCAGAGAATATCATGGTAAGTGAAATAAGCCAATCCCAAAAAACCAAAGGCTGAATGTTTTCTCTAATAAGTTGTCAGTGATCCATAGTGCGGGGTGGGGGAATTGGGAAGAATGAAGGAACTCTGGATTGTGCAGAGGGGAGTGAGGAAAGGGGCGGGGCTGCAGGGATGGGAAGGACAGTAGAATGACAGACATTATTGCTGTATATACATGTATGATTACACTACTGGTGTGACTGCACCATGTACAGCCAGAGAAATGAGAAGTTGTGCTCCATTTGTTAATAATGTGTCAAAACGCACTCTACTATCTTGTATAATTAATTAGAATTTACAAATTTTAAAGAAATCATTTACTTTTTTGCATACAACCTATATACATCCTCTTGGATACTGGAATCATCTCTACATTGCAAATAATACCTAATACATAGTGACTATAGTTTTAGGAAAAACGTCTATACATGTTCAGTACAGATTTTTTTTTTGGTACCAGGAATTGAACCTAAGGGTGCTTAACCACTGAGTCACATTCCCAGACCTTTATTATTTTTTATTTTGAGATACGGTATTGCTAAGTTACTTAGAGCCTTGTTAAGTTGCTGAGGCTAGCTTTGAACTTGCGATCCTCCTGCCACAGCCTCTCAACGTCACTGGGATTACAGGTGTGTGTCACTGCGCCTGACAGATGCATTTTTTCCCTTAATCATTTCAGTCCACAGTTGGTTGAATCCATGGATATGGAGGACTGTATGTATATAAAATGCATGACACTTGTTTAGTATAGTCCTCACCACAGGGTAAATTCTAATCACCTGTAAATATCACTGAATCCTTAGCAACTTGGAAATCATACAGTTTTTACCTAATGCCAAGGGCCAATGTCTTCTTTCAAACTATGAGGTAATCTCTCTTGCCACTACCACCTATTATTATTTTAATAATGTTTTCAAAACAAGCTTAACCATGACTTCAACTGAAGGGCTGGAGTCTGAGTCCTCCACAGAGCAAGCAGTACAGAATAGACTCCACTCTTTCCCACATGATAGTCTATCAGATATTATCTATCTAGGAGAAAGAGGACCTGTGGGGTTGAAAAGTCTACATATGTTCAGGTTTAACTAATTCTACTATAGTTTTCCCAGGCAATATTCTCACTAAACATAAATGTGTATTATTGATCATTTATTCTTTTTTCTTAATATTTATTAAGAATATTTATTTAGTTATAGGTGATCACAATATCTTTATTTTATTATTTTATTTTTATGTGGTACTGAGGATCGAACCCAGTGCCCCATGCATGCTAGGTGAGCGCTCTAACACTGAGCCATGGCCTGATCATTTATTCTTTTACTCATATCATACTGTCTAAATTAATGTCTTGATATCTAGTAGTAAAAATTATCCTTTGAAATTATATTTGCTATTTTATCCTTTTGCATTTCCATATAAAGTTTTGAATCATCTTGCCAATCTCCACAAAAAATATTTGTTGGGATTTAAAATGAAACTGCATAGATTCTATATTATTTTGGGGAAAAATTTATGTTTTATAATATGGAGATTTCTAAGTCCATGAACATGGAATATCTGAGTAATTTATGTAATTTTTTTGTTTTGCATATATTTCACTGGGTTTACTCTTAAAAGTTTAATATTTTTAAAGTAGTTGTAAATGATGTTATGTAAGCATTAATTTTCTAATCATTTATCACTGTTATTCGGAAGTACAGTTGATTTTTTCATACTATCCTGTATCCAATGACTACATATTAATCTTAATAGTTAATTATAGACTTTCTTTGGATTTTCCATGCAGACATTATGTAATCAGTAACTAATGACAGTTTTATTATTCCTGTCTAGTTCTTTTACCTCTCTCTTTCTTGCTTTCCTGTTGAGGTGAAATCTCTAGCTCAGTGTTAGTGGGTTGGTGACAGTACATACCTGTATCCAATCTCAAAGAGAAAGATTTTAAAATATCATCATCAAATATGATATTTGGTACAACTGATTTGTAGATCACATTAAGTAAATTGCCTTACATGAATAGTTTGCTAAAAGCTTTTTTTTCCACATGAATAAATGTTTAATTTTATACACTAACATTGAGGTATCCACTGAGATGATCGTATGATATTTTTAATGTGGTAAATTACATAAGTAGATTTTTTTTAAAGGCTAAATTAATATTGCTTTTATGTATTAAGCCACTTGATCATGAGGTACTATTCTTCACTATTGTTTTGTATTTTTATAGTTTTTTACACACATTGTTAAGTATAATTTCTAATTTTTTTGTAGGAATACAGACTTGACCTTTTGTTTCTTTGTTGTCTTGTAAAGTTTTGTGTAAAGGTTTTACTTGCCTCATATATTGAGTTGGGAAGTGTTCTCTATTTTCACTTTCTCTGGAAGAGTTTGGTGTGTTGTTTTTCCCTCTGATGCTTGGCAAAGCATCTAGCCTTGGTTGTCTTTGTTAAAAGGGGATCCAGGTGGGAAGGACTCAGAACCTGTCTATAGTGGGGCCAAGGACTAAAGATAAAGAGCTGAAGAGACATTGAAGGCCACAGGCAGATTGGTGGGCCTTGAAACTACCTGGTTCTCCTCTACATGAGCAAGGCTCAAGGTCTGAGGCTGGAGAATTTCCTCACCCTGTGCCCATGTGTGGCTTATTCACTTCCTACAGGAACCAGTACCAACTGTCAAGACTGTATAAACGGTCTCACTTGCCTGTTCTAGTTCCTTTATTGTTAACAGTCACATAAGAGTTTAAATAAAGCCACTTTGAACTGAAACAATTTTTTTTTCTATACCTACAGGTCAGTAGTTTCAAAAGAAGAGAAAGCTGAATTTGTAAAAAACAACAACAAAAAAACCCAAACACACACAAAAAACGATCTGAAATGAAGCCTCAAAATATCATTATCAGCAATCGTGTTCCTGGTGAATTAGAAATGACTTAGTCAATGGCCCTCAAAGTACTCCTACATCAAATGCACAAATGTTTATTACTGTCATACCTAAAATTCAAAGCAATTCAGTTTTGTGCAGTAGATAAAATATTACTTATTATTAGCCTGAAAATATATTTTGAAGACCACAAGGAAAAATAAGTAATTCAGCAACAGAAAATTGGATTCACATACTGCTAACCTGCAAATACTGGGAACTCTGTTTTAGCAACAGTCATGGCTAAATTCAGGGCCTCTTGGTCTGCCGCCACTCCTCCCTTTTTTTCCACTCTCCTTTCACAGTAGGAGGGATGGAACCCAGGGCCTCATGCATGCTAGGCAAGTGCTCTATCTAATGCTGAGCTACATTCTTAGCTCTTTGACACTGGGTCTTGCTAAATTGCCCAGACTGGCCTCTAATTTGTGGTCCTCCTGCCTCAACCTGTAGCTGGGA